CTTTCAAAGTAGGTGTCAGCAGTCCTCTGGGCAGAAACAAGAAAAAAAAAAAAGAAAAGGAAAAAAAAGTGAGTGTCAGCTTACTGATTCTTCTTTTCATGCTGGATTTGGAAGTAGAACAGTAACTAGAATTGAAAAGAGGCACAGGGAAGCCTCCTTGTAAGGTACAGTGAAAGAAGCACAGAGTTTAAGTTTGAATTCTAGCTCTGCAACTTACAGGCTGTATTACCTTGATTAAACTACTACCCTCTCAGTCAGATCCTATTTCCCCTCAAAGGAGTTGGACTAGATCAGTGGTTGCCTAATGCTTTTCTCAGACTAGCTGTTATAATTACCTAGAAAGTTTAATATAAAACACAGAATGCATAGTCAGTGATCACCTATGGATGTTAATATCACAAAACAAAGGAGACAACCAGACATTATGTGCCTCCTGATGGAAAAATACAATAACATCTATGAAGTATTCTTGTTACTAAAACAAACAAAACCTGAATCTCATCAAGCCTCAAAAATCAATCAATTACAGAAAATACAAGCAACAGAGAAACATGTTGAACATTACCATGGGGATTCAATCAGCAAAATATAGACTGGGAAACTGGAGGAAAAATAATTTGGTATCATCAACAAATATGGAATGTAAGAAGGGAAGAATTTGAAATCTATAGATTAATACATTTAATCTTTAATCTAATAAATTTAAACATGTCAATGAGTTGCTGACTTAAAAAATACTGTAAAAAAAAAAAATGATGACACAAACAGGGGAATTTGAACATTGACCAGACATTTTGTAATACTAAGGCATGATGGTAATTTTTTAGATAGCACTAAAACTTACATTTTAGTGGAACATTTAATCTGAAGTATCTGAAAAGATATTTGTATTATACTATGAAGTGAAAAAGGCAAGTTGCAAAATCATATGCATGGAATACAATCTCACTTTTGTAAACCTCACATTTATTTATTATAAATATATTTAGATGTTATATACACACATGTTAAATAGCAGTGATTGTAGCTTAGGAAGATGTGAAATAATTATTATTATTATTATTTTTTTTTTTTGAGACAGAGTCTCGCTTTGTTTTCCCAGGCTAGAGTGAGTGCCGTGGCGTCAGCCTAGCTCACAGCAACCTCAAACTCCTGGGCTCAAGCAATCCTCCTGCCTCAGCCTCCCAAGTAGCTGGGACTACAGGCATGCGCCACCATGCCCGGCTAAGTTTTTCTATGTATATTAGTTGGCCAATTAATTTCTTTCTGTTTTTAGTAGAGACGGGGTCTCACTCTTGCTCAGGCTGGTTTTGAACTCCTGACCTTGAGCAATCCACCCGCCTCAGCCTCCCAGAGTGCTAGGATTACAGGCGAGAGCCACCACGCCCGGCTTATTTTTTAAGTTAGTTTTGTTTTGTTTTTTTGAGACAGAGTCTCGCTTTGTTGCCCAGGCTAGAGTGAGTGCCATGGCATCAGCCTAGCTCACAGCAACCTCAAACTCCTGGGCTTAAGCAATCCTTCTGCCTCAGCCTCTCGAGTAGCTGGGATTACAGGGACGCACCACATGCCCAGCTAATTTTTTCTCTATATATTAGTTGCCAATTAATTCTTTCTTTCTATTAGTAGGACGGTGGTCTTGCTCTTGCTCAGGCTGGTCTTGAACTCCTAACCTCGAGCAATCCGCCTGCCTCGGCCTCCCAGAGTGCTAGGATTACGGGCGTGAGCCATTGCGCCCAGCCAAAGTTAGTTTTTTTTTCTTTTTTCTTGATGTACTTTCTCATTTGTTGTCATCATGAGTGCGTGTATATATATACATATTTTTTTTTCCTTTTTTTTGAGACAGAGTCTTACTCTGTTGCCCAGGCTAGAGTGCCATGGCATCAGCCAAGCTCAAAGCAACTTCAAACTCCTAGCTCAAGTGATCCTCCTGCCTTAGCCTCCGGAGTGGCCGGGACTACAGGCATTTGCCACCACGCCCAGCTAATTTTTTCTATATATTTTTAGTTGTCTGACTAACTTTTTTGTATTTATAGTAGAGATGGGGTCTCGCTCTTGCTCAGGCTGGTCTCAAACTCCTGACCTTGAGCGATCCTCCCGCCTTGGTTTCCCAGAGTGCTAGAATTACAGGCGTGAGCCGTGGCGCCTACGAGTAAATGTTTTACAGAAAAACATTTTTAGGTGTTACAATGGTATTGTGGTTACATTTTAAAAGAGTTGTTACCTTTAGAGATGGATGATGAAATTTTTTTGAATGTGTGGAAATTATCAGAATCAAAATGGAGGCACTAGTGTTAAAAAAAAAAACCCTAACAAATAGAGCTGGGGAAGGCCATGAAGAAAGGGTTCTCATGCCTATATGACTGATAACAAAAGTTATCACAAATGACTGCAAAAACCACAATCTTGCACAAAGGCTATCGCAACCTTATATGATAAATTCTTTTGCAAGGACATTTGCCCAGCAACTGCCTGTCCAACCTTCGATTAGCATCACCCTTGTTATTGATCTGTGTAGCTAAGACTACTCCAAAACAATCATGTAATAATCCTTATCATTTTTTCCTTTAAAAACCTTTGTCTTCCTGAATATGCACATAGTTTACCATGGCACACGTATTCCTATTGCAATGCTCTATTCCTGAATAAATATGTTTATTTATTTATTTATTTTATATTCAGGAACGATCTGTGGAAAGCTTACCTATTACCCAGGGACTCAGAGGAAGGCAGGATTCAGGAGTAAGCCCAGGACGAGCTGCTGCTACCTACTGTTTCCCGAGTTGCAAGCCTTGCCTGCTAGAGTCCCAGAGGTCGTGTCCACCCAATGTGCCCTCCCAGGTTTCGGCATCAAATGTTAGGTCCAGAGCTGAGAGGGAGACAAACGAAGCCTCATGCATAGCAAAATGCTGTTTATTTGATGGTGCAGATGGGTAGAGGCTGAAAAAGGCATCCACCAATGTTTTTCTTTTAGAGAGCCTCTTTTTGTTTATTATTTAGGTTGACAGATGATGACATCTGGAATTTGCTTCACAATAATCAAGGATAGGAGAAAGTGGGTGGGAACATAGATGAAACAAGACTGCCCATGAGTTGATAAGTTATGGAAGCTGAATGATGGGTACATGTGGATTCATTATACAAGTTTCTCTAGCTTTGTATATATTTAAGATTTTCCAATAAAAAAGTTTAAAAATAAGATTCCCAGGTCCTACTCCCAGAGACCTTGCATTTTTAAATAGTTCCCAAATGATTGTGTTATACAAGCAACTACTGAATTAGATAGGTAATATCCTTTTAACATAATTTTTAAAATGATTTCCCATGTAATTTAACGGATATTATATAATAATGAATTTGTAGGCCAGGTGCAGTGGCTCATGCCTGTAATCCTAGCACTGTGGGAGGCTGAGGGAGGAAGACTGCTTGAGGGCAGGAGTTGAAGACCAGCCCTAGCAACATTGAGACCCCCGTCTCTACCAAAAAATAGAAAAAATTAGCCAGGTGTGGTGGCACACACCTATAGTCCTGGCTACTCAGGAGGCTGAGGCAAGAGAATTGTTTGAGCCCAGGAGTTGAAGTTGCAGTGAGCCATGATGACACCACTTCACTCTAGCCCGGGCGACCCTCTTGCAAAAAGAAAAAAAGAATTTGTGTTGTCTTTGTCCCTGGTTCCTGAGAAGTAACCTCTAAATCCTGTGTCTTCATTATTCAAGGTGGTCCCCTCAGACCATACCTGAGTTTACACTAAACAAATGACTCAGGGTGGTGGCTGGCAGGCTGGAAAGATGAACCCTGTAATTAGAGGACTGAGGCTCTGGGACAGGTGATATCAGCCTGACCTCCGAAGGAGGGCAAGGGAGTGAGAGATTGAGTTTGATCACATAGCCAATGATTCCATATGTAAAGAAATTGCAATAAGAACTCTGGACACCTGAAGCTCACCTGAGTAAGCTCAACATATTGAGAGGATAACATGTTCTGAAGACACAGAAGCTTCGTGTTTGGGACCCTCCCAGACCTCACCTTATGGGTCTCTTCATTTGGCTGGTCCTGATTTGTATCTCTTATCAAAAAATTGTGATTGTAAGTAGAGCACTTTCCTGAGTTCTGAGAGTCATTCTAGTGAATTATGAAACCTGAGCAGGTAGTAGGAACTCCCAAATTTGTGCCTAGTTGGTCAGAAGTGCAGTAGCTTGGGAACCCAGAGCTCGCAGCTGGTGTCTAAAGGGAGGGCAGTCTTGTGGGAGATTATGCCCTTACCCTGTGCAATCTGACTTCACTCTGGGTAGTGTCAGAATTGCATTGTAACTGGATATTCATTAAAGTTAATAACTCCCTTCTATTGTAAAAAGGGGATGCATGTGAAGCATTGAGCACAATGCCTTGCACATGGTAGATGGAAAGTCAAATACCCCATGATGGTTAAACCTCTATTATCTACTTCTTAATGTAAATTTTCTACATGAAATGATCCATAATACCTAGTTGAAATAGAAGGAACAGTGAGAACAAGAGGTTTGTTGGTAGAAAAGACAGGTGAAATGGAGGTATTTTAGAACAAAGGGGTAGGTAGGGAAGATGTAGGGAACAAAGAAACAATGAAGAAAGCATGGGGCTATTGAGTTGAGAGGAGCCATAGGGTGGCAGAGAGGTACTCTGGGGAGGTGAATAAGCCAAAAATGAAGGTGGAGAGGCTCAGTTTGATGTTGTCTAAGGACCTGGTGATATAACTATACCTTGGCAGCCCTGAGGGGAGCCACTAAAAGAAAAGAACATTCCCCTGTCCCTGTAAATCCCAGGGTCAGCAGGAACTGGAAAGGTAAGTTTCTCTGGTTCCCAGAGGAAGGATATGCAGTGAGTCACCCTGTGGCCCTTATGCCTTGTGTCGAGGATGGGCTGGTAGGGACATTCGCCGCTTGGCAGAATCTGCTGTTCTTCTGCCATTCAACCTTCATGTCTCCTTTCTTCCTCCAGCTTCCCTCCCCAACCCTCCAGATTACCTGTTGTTGGTAGAAGTTGCTGGCACTTTGTTCAAATCGCTCATCTTTGGTTTCTACAGTTTTTCCCAATTTCTGCAGTACCTGGGGATATAAGACAAAAAAGCCCATAAGTCATAGTCAAGTCTCTCATCTGTTGGCCTCATATGATCCTGGCTTCACTCATGTCTCAGATGCAGCTAAAGGGCTGTGATCATCAACCCAACAGAATTATGAATATAATACATTATTGAAAAAAAAATCATGTTTTGTGGTTCTTCTCAAATTGGGGGTAGCTCTAGGCATATGTAGTAGTGGGCTCTATCTATAAAGTTCAGAATAAGTAAGGTATATCTTCCTAGAATGTCGTTACCTTTTTTTTTTTGACATAGGGTCTCCCTCTGTTCCCCAGGATGGAGTTCAGTGGTACAATCTTAGCTCACTACAATCTTGAACTCCTGAGCTCAAGCATCTTCCTGCCTCAGTCTCCCTCCCTAGTAACTAGGACTACAGGCGTGCACCACCACACTCAGCCAATTTTTAATTTTTTTGTAGAGATGAGGTCTTGCTATGTTGCCCAGGCTGCTCTCAAACTCCTGGCCTCAGCAATCCTCCTGCCTAGGCCTCCCAAAATGTTGAGATTACAGATTATAGGCATGAACAACCATGCCTGGCCTGTCATTGTAAACTTAGATTATTTTTTTTAGGAAGAAGGAGAAGAGCAGTATATCAAAACAAGGATTAAGGCCAGGTATGGTGGTTCACCCAGCTACTAGGGAGGCTGAGGCAGGAGGATTGCTTGAGCCTAGGAGTTTGAGGCTATAGTGAACTATGATTGCACCACTGTACTCCATCCTGGGCGAGAGAGAAAGAGAAGGAGACCCTGTCTCAATATAAATAAATAAATATATAAATAAATAAATAAATAAGACAAAGATTGAGAAGAATGTAAAATGTGCATGGCTTTAAAAAATAAAACATGAGCCTTGAACACATTTTTCACTTGAGAAACTCTTTTCTAGCTGTGGCCACAGATTCCTTTAGTAGATCAAGTTAGAGAGGTGGCCAGGGGACTCTTCTCTCATGAGGGTCCTTGTGGAAAACTTTTTGAGGCCCTGATATAATACACTTCAAACTCAACTAGACACTGAATGCTATCCATGTCTATTTCCTCTCAACTAGAAAAGCTGAGAGCCAGCCATCACACTAATCTCAGTACTAATGCAAAAGACATGGTGATAAGTAAGACCCAGTCTCCATTCTTGTAGGGGCCACTCATAAACAAGTAATTACATGTAGTAAGAAAGCCCTGAGTCTTCTTCCTGTAACTTCCATCTTCGAAGGAAGTACCACCATGCCCCCAGGCCCAAATTAGAAACTCAAGAGTTACCTTCAAACACTTCTCCTTTACCCTCCTCATCAAATCCCTTACCATATCCATCTCTGGAAACCATCCTATGCTCTCTGGTCTCACTGCAATAGCCACAGTCGAGGCCCTCATTGTTTCTCACCTGGCCTGCTGCAAAAGGTCTACCAAGCTGCTGCTTAAAACTTTCTAATTGTTCCCCATTCATCTGTTCAAAGAATGTTTATTAAATGCTCAGTATGTATCTATAAGTAATACGTCAAATGCTAGCATGCATACAGGTGCCAATGATGTGATCCTCCATTAAGCCTCAGCTCTCATTACTCGTCCTCCATGCAAGTTTCCCTCCTTGACACTATTTTAGTTTCCTGAATAAGCTACACTGTTGCTTGCCATAGATGCTGGTCTCTTTCTAGAATATCTTTCCCCACCCTTCCTGCCAGGCAAATATCTAAAACGTCCAGTTCATACTCTATATCCTTTGTGACACTTAACCACACCCACTTCATCCCATCAAGTTAATCACTCCCTTCTAAGTGCTTGCAACTTCTATACCTTGTATATATTAATATTTATATTATTATTTTATTATTTGTATTTATTTGCCTATGTCTCCTTCTAAACTGTAAGCTCCTTAAGGATTGGGTACTTTCCTTGCTTACTTAGATTTCTCATTATCCAGCAAATAAATACTTAATAATTTGACAGAAAAGGGGAGTGAGACTGATGCTATAGGAGGGGATGAATGGATGGGGCCTTGAAGTAGGATTTGGTAGATTGTAATAGAGTACAAAGAGTGAAAAGAGGATTTCAGGCAAAGACAACAGCATCGGAAAAGTCATGGGAGCATGCAGCTTCATGAGATGGTCCAGGATGGCTGGTTTGGAGTGTGTTTGGGGGAGTTGTGGGGAATGAAGCTAGGAAAGTGAGACTGGAGTCTCATTATGGAGGGCTTTAAATCCCATGCAAGAGTGCCCAGATCTGGGGAGTGTGGTAGGTTCTTTGTAGAGACTCTGATCCAAGAATAGCCATTCTTTATCTGAGGGGTTAGTGTCTCTCACTCCTGGAGCTCTTTCTGTAGTGGTTAAGATCAAGCACTCTGGAGTCAGACATGGGCTCCCATTTTGACCCTTTCACTTACTGACTATAAGCCTTTGGGCAAGTCACTTAAACTCTTGAGACTCAGTTTACAGAGCTCCATTTCCCTTATTAGGATAATATTTATCTCCTGGAGTTGTTAAGGATTAAATGATATTATACATGTAAACTGCTTTCTCAGTGCTGCCTTACAAAGAGTATATCCACTATCATTATGTCTAGTTTTGCTCCCTTGCCTTTAAATGTCTGTATTTCCCTTTTGGTTTGGCTGTATGTGTTTGTGTTTGTCTCTAACTCCACCTCATTCATCACCCAACCCTGGTACACAGTCTGCCATCCTCCCTGGCTCCACCCTCTCCCCCAAACAAAACACTGTCCTCTACCAGAAAGTTGCAAAACCACCTTGTTTGGTGGCAAGTGCCGCTCTTACTTCCTTTCTGCTACCCCTCCCTTCCTTTGCCCATGGCTTGGTTCTTCTTAGGTAAAGGTGACAGAAAAGAAAGAAAAGAGAAAACTCAGTCTAGAGTCAGTATAGGGGAAAACTGGGGCAGACCAATCTCACCAATCCTAAAAGGCTTGGAGGTGAAGGGTATGGGGGCTGTTGAGGGAACCTCCTTACCTTCAACTCTGAAAGTAAAAGGGTTATAGTATTATCACCCTGAAACATACCCCAGTGTTCTGGGGCCAAAGTCATTTGTTACTGTAAGCAGAAGGTCCATGTATGGAACTTATACTATGTTATAGGTGTTCTTCCTCAACTGAGAGATCCTTGAGGGTACAGGATGTACAGATGCTCAACAGATGGTTGTTGAAAGAATGAATAAATTGTACTTTTGGATCACTTCCTAATGAAAGCCCATGTAGTGCCAATCCTTAAAGTCCTGCCCTGAGAATTCTGCCCCAATTTGCCTGGCCTGGCAGCTGCAAAGTTAAAATATAGATATTTGCAGAGAAAGAGCAAGAATAAGGACAAGAAAACAAATGTGAATCTGGGTAGAAAATATTCTAGCGTTCATTATTCTTTTAACTTTTCTGTAGATGGGGGGGCAGGGTAAAGCTTTAAAAAAAAAAATCACTTCATACATGTTTGATAGCTATAGTTCTTCACTATCACCTTTCCCCATAGTCATTTATAACAATTGGGGTAATTGGAATAGAGCCTGGATATTAGATGGTGTTACAGAATTTTGCTAAAATTTTTTCACAGATATAATAATTTTGTTGTGGTTACATAAGAAACCTTTAGGATATAGGCTACAGTAGGCTTTCCTACTTTATGGCACTAATACACATTTTCCAGTCTTATCTCCCACTGCTCCCTGTGCTCAGCTCAATAGCATTTCTATTATGTCTAAAAGCGCTTCTAGGCTTCATGCCTTGCTCTTGCTGGCATTTCTCAAGCTAGAAAGCTCTCTTACCACTTGCTAAGGAACTACTAATCACCCACAATTCCTATTTCAAATTCACCTCCACTATAAAAGCTTCCTTGATTCTCCCCAATCTTTCTGACCTCTGAATTCCCATAGACCTGCATATCTCTCAGGTCACTTATTTTACTTTATTAAAAAACTAGATTGAAAGCTTCTGGCAGGCAAGAATGTCTCTTATCTCTAAATTCCCTTCTGGGTCCAGCCCAGTACCCTGGACAAAAGAATTTTTCTGTAAATATTTGGTGAATTAAACCCCTCTGGGATATAGGCTAAGTAAAAGTCAACAGAGAAAAAGACCAACAAAGCAGTGGTAAACTGATCTTCCTTTTTTCAGGGGAGAGCTAAAAAGTTTGCCACAGAGAAGACATGAACAGATGGTGAAAGCAGCACTGTAGTTTGAAATGTGAAGATGTATCATACTGTAAAAACACAATTAAGCCAGTTTAAATTCAGCCTCATGCTGTTTGAGTAGGAACTGGAAAAAAATCAAGCAGAATGTTTCATCCCTGTTGTGTTTACTAGTCACCAGACCTTCACCCCCAGCTTTTTAGAGGAGGAAGCCTGAGCAAAATGTGTTTCCACTCCTAAACTCTATTGCTTTTGAGAGAGGATCAGCAGCAAGTGAGGAGGCACAGATGTCAGAAGGGCTTATCAGGAACATTGTAAAGGGAGTGACTTGAGGTTAGGATTCAAAGGCAGGACACCTGGGTTTCAGTAATTGTTCTGCCATTTACCAATCTCTTTTGAGACTTATTTCCTCATTTCTAAATTGGGATACTAACAACTTGCTTAAGGGGTTGAAATGATGAAGTGAGATCATGTTGCTAGAATGTTGGCAACATAAAGGAAGAGATCATCTCTTTCTTGTTATATCCCTGTGCCTGTTCCATAATAGGCACTTGATATTTGACACATATCACTATTTGACACATTAGCTCTTACATTACTCAGATTACATCCAATTTCTTATAGAAAAATCAAAAAGTGTTCCAGGGAATCCTTTCTTTTTTTTTTTTTTTTTTTTTTGAGAAAGAGTCTCCCTTTGTTGCCCAGGCTAGAGTGAGTGCCTGTGCATCAGCCTAGCTCACAGCAACCTCAAACTCCTGGGCTCAAGCAATCCTTCTGCCTCAGCCTCCGAGTAGCTGGGGACTACAGGCATGCGCCACCATGCCCGGCTGATTTTTTCTATATATATTAGTTGGCCAATTAATTTCTTTCTATTTATAGTAGAGACAGAGTCTCCCTCTTGCTCAGGCTGGTTTCGAAGTCCTGACCTTGAGCAATCCGCCCACCTTGGCCTCCCAGAGTGCTAAGATTACAGGTGTGAGCCACCGCGCCCTGCCTGTCTTTTTTAAATTATTATTATTCATGTCTTTGGGGTTTTTTGTATTTTTCAACCATAGCATAGGCTTCTCCTCTCTAATATCTCCTGCTTTACCACATTGCTTCTATCTAACAGAGACTTTCCTAAAGGCATTGCTCTCAGGTCTTGATTTATAAACAGATAGCCTCACATTCAGAGAGGCTGAAACCATCAAGGTGAAGTTAAGGGTAAGTGAAATAAACTCTGGCCATACAGAATCTTTCTCTTTTCCTCATCTCTTTCACTTCATCTCATGAGACAGAAAAACAAGGATTAAGGCCAGGCATGATGGTTCACCCAGCTACTAGGGAGGCTGAGGCAAGATTGCTTTAAAAAGGGTTATTAAAAAAAGAAATAGGCCGGGCACGGTGGCTCACGCCTGTAATCCTAGCTCTTGGGAGGCCGAGGCGGGCGATTGCTCAAGGTCAGGAGTTCAAAACCAGCCTGAGCAAGAGCGAGACCCCGTCTCTACTATAAATAGAAAGAAATTAATTGGCCAACTGATATCTATATATATAAAAAATTAGCTGGCATGGTGGCTCATGCCTGTAGTCCCAGCTACTCGGGAGGCTGAGGCAGAAGGATCGCTCGAGCCAGGAGTTTGAGGTTGCTGTGGAGCTAGGCTGACGCCACGGCACTCACTCTAGCCTGGACAACAAAGCGAGACTCTGTCTCAAAAAAAAAAAAAAAAGAAATAAAGAAAAGAAAAAGTATATACAGTTGGACATGGTTGCACACTTGTAGTCCCAGCTACTTGGGAGGCTGAAGCAAGATTACTTGAGCCCAGGAGTTTGAGACCAACCTGAGCAAGAGTAAGACCTGTTTCTACAAAAAAAGAAAAAATTAGTCAGGTGTGGTGGCAAGTGCCTGTAGCCTTAGCTACTCAGGAGGCTGAGGCAGAAGGATCGCTTTAGCTCAGGAATTCGAGGTTTCTGTGAGCTGTGATAACACCACCGCATTCTAAACCAGGCAACAGAGTGAGACCCTGCCTCAAAAAAGAAAGAAAGAGGCCAGCTGTGGTGGCTCATGCCTATAATCCTAGCACTCTGGGAGGCCGAGGCGAGCGGGTGCTCGGAGGTCAGGAGTTTGAAACCAGCCTGAGCAAGAGGGGACCCTGTCTCTACTATAAATGGAAAGATTAATTGGCCAACTAAGTATATATAGAAAAAATTAGCGGGCATGGTGGCGCATGCCTGTAGTCCCAGCTACTCGGGAGGCTGAGGCAGGAGGATCACTTGAGCTCAGGAGTTTGAGGTTGCTGTGAGCTAGGCTGATGCCATGGCACTCACTCTAGCCTGGGCAACAAAGTGAGACTCTGTCTCAAAGAAAGAAAAAAAAAAAAGTATATACAGGCCCTCCCTTTCATTGTTGCCTCTTTTTTTTAGTCTCGGAGGTTGTGTCCACCTGGTGTGCCCTCCTGAGTTTCGGCACCAAATGTTAGGTCCAGAGCCAAGAGAGAGACACACGAAGCCCCGTGTGTAGCAAAATGCTGTTTACTTTAGCATCTGGGTACAGATGGGTTGAGACCGAAAAAGGTGTCCACCATTGTTGCCTCTTCAAGTCAGGAACTATATCTACATTCTATTAATGCTCTTTTGATAATCCTACTTGGGAGAGCTAGTTGCCCTTAATCTTCAGAAGATAATATTATGTCAATTGTTAAGTATGTGTTGTTCACCCAAACACTTCTAAGTCCATTAGCCTTTTAAAAAACCAGAACTGTATCTTAGGTCCTTCTTGTCCCTCCCCTCTCCTCTTTTCTTCTGGCTTACAAGTCTTCCCATACCACCGTGCCTAATGGAGTGTTGGAAGGTGGAGAAGAGACGTTCAGGTTAGAAGCAAAGAAAATACTCTGGATAGAAACAAAAATGCCATTAAAATGTGAACAGTGTCCGCATGATCTCTATAAGCAGGCAAGTTATAGATGGACAACAACCTAAACGCTGGTGCTGGGGTACGGCTACTCAGCGTTAACCAAGGAAGCAATCTAAAAAGAGACGCCCAATTATCATCCTGGGCAGCGCACTCTCCAGCACCAAAGGAAGCAGATAAGGGCTACTGCTTACAACAGCTTACCATCCAGAGACCAGTCAGGAGTAGGTACAGAGAGAATTACGTAGAATTATTCTAGTTTTCAGTAGACTCCCAATTCAAGCTAACTGGTGGTACACACGGGCATCACACCTAGTCATCACTGTCTTTGACTTTGGGGAATTTACCCTCCGAGGGAAATTACCCTCCAATTCCATCATCTGTAAAACACCATCCTCTTGGATTGCTAGGACAAAACCCGATACATGGTTGGCCGAGGTTAGTTCCTTTCTTTCACCTTTTTTGGGTGGGCCTGAAGTTTAAGGTTCCTGAGAGAGACTGTTGTCGCCTCGGCTTCCCCCACCCTTGCCCGAGATCGTTCTCTCTCAAATCTGCCAGTTTTCATGGAAACCCGCTCCCTGCTCCTGGGTCTCCTCTACAGCCCTGGCCTTCCAGGGCCCCTGAGCACCCTGCATGCCCGTCCTGCCCGCCCAGCCTTGGCTCCCCTCGGGCCTCAGCTCCTCGCGTTGGCGGGGCCGGGCAGTCGTCGAGGCCCGGCCGCCTACCTTCTCCTGGGCCCTGCTGAACTTCTTCTGCACCTGCTTGGCAAAGAGGCCGGCTGCGCCGCCCGCCTTGCCCTCCGCCATCCTGCCGGCTCCCTGGGGGCGGCTGCCTTGGCCCGGGGCCCTGTGGTTTTCTAGAGGCCCCTGAGGAGGAAGTGCGGGCTCCCGGCATGCCTCGCATCCGGCGGCGGTGGCGGGCGGGCCTCGTCCTCCCGCCCGCCGGCCGCCCCCCGCCGCCCCGACCCCAGGTGCGAGCCCGGGCCCACACGACGGCCACGCTGAGGCCGGCTCCACGGCCCAGCTCAGGAGTGCGGCCCAGAGCGGCAGGCTGGGGACCTGGCGGCGACGCCCAGAGCTGGGGCAGGGGCTGGGCTAGTGCAGAGCGGGGCGGAGACTTGGGCCTGCAGGCAGGTGGAGCTCACTCTAGCCCAACATCGAAGCTCCAGCCCTGAGGCTCCGGAACATCGGCCCCTCTGAACAAAGTCTTCAAATGTGGGCCAAGACTCGTTCATTCCGGAAAGCGAATTAGCTATCACAATCAGCACTGGAAAATAACTGAAACAACAGGATAGAAAATATTGTGAGTTCCACTCGGCAAGGGTATTTATTGTATCAGAAAACGTGTTTCAGTTATATGGATATTCATTCCTAAGGGGCCAAGTGAATTATGTTTCTTGCTCCGGGTTGTAGTTTAGCCACTGCCAGAGATTGGCTCTAAGCCCGGAACTGGTAGGGACAGAGTGCAGAATGGGGACAGGACTCCAGATCTGGATTTGAAAGAAAGGAACAAATGAGTTGGAAGTAGAAATCAGATGGGGGTGGGGACGAGGGTGGGGGGTTCTTAGGAAAGGAGATGATCTCTATGGAAAAATGCTAAGGAGGAGAGTATGGACGCCTGTACTGGAGATGGGGGGCGAGTTTTTCTAGTTGGAGTACAGTGTACTAGATGAAAGCAGAATGTGAACACCGACACAGATTGTGCAAATTAGGGTGGGGCTGTTGAGATTACAACCATTGTTTCTGTAGGGAGAAGGTCTCCAAATAGAAGTTATTCTCTAATCTGTTTGAGGTTATAGCTGGAAATTGGGACACTAGGTTTGAAAGAACCATTTACTCAAGCATTTTACAGTAGAGATGAAATTCCCTCAAAGAAGGGAAGAAGGTCAAAATACACTTCCAAAGGAGTGGAGAGGGAAGCTGGAGGCATGACAGAAAATTAGAGGTCTTTGTCTGCTATTGTTTTCCATTTTAACCCCCTAAACAGACATTACTGCACTCAAGGTAAACCATGTGCCAGGCATTGTTGGATATTGGGATGCCAAGATGAATAAAATGCACTTGCTGACCTCAAGATGCCTTAAAGTCTGGAGGTGGAGATAGGTTGGTAATCAGATGATGATAATTCATTTATAGAGATTAATACAGAATTTTCAGGCAATATGTGATGAGGATTTATTCTGGATGTTAGCTTTGGTAATGGCCTGAAAGAGGCAGAATCTAGAAAAAGGAAGGACTTGATATTGGATGGGGAGAAGTGGGTAGAAGCCCAGAGAATGGTGATACTGCAGGAACACTGAGAGAAGATGGGCATAACAGGTGTGTCACTAGCAGAAGGAGGCCAATGTCACTTGCAGGACTACCCAGCCACTGCTCCTAAAAAACTGTTTAGTGCTAATATCTTGGGAACTGAAATTGATGGTCACCAAATCATGTAGTATTGCAGAAGAAACAACCCTTACAAGTTAACTAGATGAGGAAGTTGCATCACAGAAAGGGCTGGTGACTTGCCCAAGGTTACCCAGCTTCTCAGTGGTGAAACTGGGATGGGAACACAGAGGTCTTGGCTCCAGCCCAGCCTCTTATAGTACATACATACAGTGTTGTACAGGCCTCTGTTGATATAGCAGCCTACCAATTCCAGCACCTATCTCAGCCAGTTTCTCCCTGCTATAATATTTAATACCCTAGTCCAGGTGTCCTCAAACTATGGCCCACGGGCCACATGGGGGCTGCCTAGCACATTTATCTGGCCCACCGGGTGTTTTTGCCACCTCTGCCTGTCCTGCTTAGCAGCCGACTCTCCCAGGCCCACAGTGCACACTCCAACGGTCTGAGGGACAGTGAACTGGCCCCGTTTAAAAAGTCTGAGGACCCCTTCCCTAGTCCCTCTTGTCTGGTTTTCAGTGATTGGCATGAAAAGCTGCTTTTCATCCTTTTTAACCTTCTCCTTTCAGTTCCCCCTTCGCTTTCTCTCAGGCCAGTCTAACAGACTCAGCCATGGCCAGGACAGAGCAGAATATTCAGCTTCCCAGTTCTCTGTGGTTTATAGACCCCTGAATCCGGTTGACTATTTTCGTCTTAGCTTAAAATGCTGATTCACACTTAGTTTTAGGCCCCATATTGTTGTCACCTCTTCCTCTGTAGTCTGCCTCTTCCCTTCAACACTTTCCTTTTTTGGTTTAGTATCTTTTTTCTCCTTTTTTTCTTTTTGCACCCCAGGCTCCTTTCTAATTTGTTACTTTCTTAGTCTGACAACATCTAATCTACCTCCTAACCCTAATATTTCTATCTCTAGTGTATGCTAGTAGTTGCCATCACCCAGCAGTTGAGTGAACACTTGTTCTAGGGACTGAAGGAATAAACAAAAGAAGAATGAACTCATAATCTACCTGGGAGAGTTAGGGCACATGAGTTACTCAGGAACTTTTTAAAGCACTTTATGCCTTTGAATATAACAAATATGCTCAGAAGAGGGGGGCAGATGGACAAGTTAATGGATAGGTGGATCCTAAAATACAAAATGGATAATGTACAGCCACTCCCACTGGGCTTAGTTTGTGGATTGCTAATGGTAGCAGCAAAGGGAAGAACCAGCCCACAGATGTGGTGAAATCCAACTTGGGTCTTATAACTACTGTATTTCCTCTAGAAGGCTTAATTACAAATAGAAAGACACAGTATGATAATGTATATTCAGTTTTATTTGTTTTTTTATATCTGACTCAATACTCTCTTAGAGTGCTTTTTCCTTGTTGGTCTCAAGTCTATTTGCAGACCTAAGAACCATCTTGGGAAGGCTGCTGGACTCAGGAAAATGTTCAGTTGGAGGCAATGGCCTGAAAGAAAAAAGAGTTATGTCCACAGTCAGTAACTTCTGACCACCTCCTTTCTTATTTTCTCAGGGCTCCCCATAAAGTATGGCTCTCTACTGGGTTTATGAGGAGTTGAGAAGGTATGGGGGTATGTGTGACAAGAAGTCTCAGCTGTGATAGGACACCTCAGTGTTAATGGCAAATGCCCAGGACACAGTGGCAAGGACAGACCTTGAAGTGGCTGTGAGCCAAGATTCATGCCACAAGTCTCCAAGATGTTTGAAGGCTGGAGGGCACAGTGAAATGTGTTATGTGGCTCTTTTAGGACAGTGTAGGCAGAGTCTTACCTAAGTTTCAAGCATTGTTTAAGATGGTAAAACCTCCTTAAAAGTTAGAGCAAATTCTTGTAATGCCCTTAGAAAAAGCTTGTGGTGCCCTCTTTCCTTGCCCATGAACCTGCAAGCCTCTCTGAACTGATTTTTCCTTTGGCTTAGACTTAGGACAGCACTGATATTTCCCTGGTTCAGATCTGATATCGCCACCATCTTACCTTATGCAGTAAACAATAGAGTGAGTTTTGCTCAGTGGGTATGTGAAGGGGAGGGAACTCAGGATGGCATTATTGAAAAAAGTGCCTCTTTTTATTGAAAAAAGAGGGAAGAGAAAGGAATAAACACATGAATGTGGTAAGGAATTATGGCTTCCCCAGCCCAGCTTGTGCTCCCCAACCCAGCCAGTGCTTGGATTTCCAGGTGACCCTATTTCAACCCATAATTTGAGAGAACTCACATTATTTATCCAAGAGATGTAAGCAGAGACCCGGGTGAAGACTGTGGGCTTCCTGGAGACATTACAGCCCTGGCTGGACACAAAGCTGGTCACTCCATGGACAGCATACTGGCCATTCACCAAACAATGGAGGGGGCCTCCAGAATCACCCTGCAGGAAGAAGAGGCAGAGTCCTAAAACTCCAAATCTTTTGCTCTTTGAGCTTTTGTTTTCACTCTGCTCACCCCCATCTCTGTGAAATCCTGTACAGTTTTAAAGCTGCAAGTCAAATCTCTACTTCCTTCATATCCTCACAATCAAAATGAATCTCTTCTTCCTTTCTAAACAAAGTACTTCTTCTCTATCGCTGTACTTATTTCATGTTTTGCTTGGTATTTTGGTTTCATAACTTGTTTCTACCTCCCACACATATCTATGAACTTCTTGAGATAGGAACCATGTCTTACTGATATCTTTCCTCTCTACAATGCTAGCATAGAACTTTAAACATCTTTAGTTCTATAGCTTTTATTGACTTAAATTGAACCTGGGATGGGAGAAGTAGGGCATTCTAATAATTTTTTTATCCCCAGCATTTAGAACAATGGATTTAATTAGACCAAGTATTTGGACTCAGGGTACATAGTAAGCACACTAAACTAAACTGGAGTGAAGAAGAGAAAAAAAATGATGTATTAGATAGTGGTTATGTGCTCAGGCTTAGAATCAGAGGAACCTGAATTTGTAGAATATGACCTTGATACCCTCCTTATTCAGCTCCCAGAATGCCAGGTCTATAACACCAGGCATAAAAGGGAAGATATTTCTCTGGAAAATCTGACCAGTCTAAGAGGAAAGACCTAAAGATACTGACCATGGAGATTCCCCCCCCCCCACAAAATGGCCTCACCAGATAACCTGACAGAAATCCATTGTTGGTGAACCCCACCTAAGGCTCAGAGCTACCAATCAGCTTTTATCACCACACTCTGAAATAAAGGCAGATGGTCAAAGATGACCGAACATCTAAAGAAAGCCTTTAATGTAAAAATAAAGGTCAAAATGAAGAGACAAAGAGCTAAATAAAAAACAAAGGCAACCAAGACTATGCAGGGAGAAGAAAATAAGCAATAAAACTATGATTAATATTTGGCCAGGCATGGTGGCTCACGCCTGTAATCCTAGCACTCTAGGAGGCCGAGGTGGGCAGATTGCTCGAGGTCAGGGGTTCGAAACCAGCCTGAGCAAGAGCGAGATCCCATCTGTACTATAAATAAAAAGAAATTAATTGGCCAACTAATATATATAGAAGAAATTAGCCGGGCATGCTGGCGCATGCCAGTAGTCCCAGCTACTCGGGAGGCTGAGGCAGTAGGATTGCTTGAGGCCAGGAGTTTGAGGTTGCTGTGAGCTAGGCTGATGCCACGGCACTCACTCTAGCCTGGGCAACAAAGGGAGACTCTGTCTCAAAAAAAGAAAAACAAAATATTGCATTCATGATACAAGAACAGCATGCTACTAAACAGAACATTCAGAGAATAAAAAGAATCTTTGGAAATTATAAATCTGATAGATTAATAATAGAAATGAAAGATTAGAGTAGTTGGAACATAAAGTAGAACAAAATATAGAGAAAATAAGAGGATTGGTTTAGGAGGTAAAAATATGAATAACAGAAATTGTAGAAAGAGAAAACTAAAAATGGAGGGGAGAAAATCATCAACAAACAAACAACACTTTCAGAATCAAAGGTTTGGAGTTTCTATGCCAAGACACAGACCACTAAGGTCACAAGAAGATGAAACAGGTTGCTTACAAATTAGTGGAGAGTGTGGGGTTGAATTAGTGATAAGTTGACTATGTATTAACCAAATGAAAGACAGTTAACAACAGGGAAAACAAAGTTATGCAGCAAAGGAAAAGTAATCCTAGACTATTATTAATACATGATTTAGTTGTGAATAGCATTTTGCATAATCATAATAAACACTGAATGTCGATCTAACCAAAATTATTTCGGGAGGTTGAGGTGGGGCTTTAAAAAGTTCATGCTTGAGGGCAGGTATGTGTATATAAAAGGCAAAGAGATCCACATCTGCCATAACTGAAAAGTTGAAGTAGCAATGTAAATATATATTTTTAAAGGTATGGATGTAGACACCAAAGGAATCAGGTGTGAAGAGTTGCATGTGGTCCTCTCTAGGGAGGGAGAACTAAAGGAGTGAAGGGAGCGCAATGACTGTTCTTCCCATCATTGAGCACTATAATTTTATTTGCCATTTAGAGCAATTTGGTAGGTATAGCTTCAATAAAATTGAAAACTAAAAAAAGAACTAGGGAAAGAGACCAAAAGTTCAGATTGGGGATAATTCTTTTAAAGAGGAACTAGCTGGACCCCACCCAAACTACTGGTTAAGAAAAGATGTTTTCTTTCTTTCTTTTTAAAATTTCTCCACTTTTGAAGGATGTTTTCTTTAGATTACTGTACTCAAAACAAACTAAAACAACCTAAATCTCTCCCACTTAAATTCTATCAGGGATTTGGGAGTATTTCAGGGCTAGAGAAAGGGAAGATAAATGAATTATATTTAATACTATTGTCTTATGCTAATTGACCTGAAAAGAGACCCCAGCTCTGGAGAAATGGAGGGTGGGCTGAGGATTTTATAGCAGAGGGAAGAGCTGGAAAGAAATCAGTGGGAATGAGTGATTGAAGTAGGGAAAAGAACTGGGGACCCAGAACTGAAAGCCCAGAAGATATACTATTTGAGAAGCTCCCATGGGAAGGGACCTAGAGACACAATTGCCTCAGAGAATTCTCAGTTTGGAATAGCAGCCAGAGGAAAAGTACCCTAGTGTTTCAGAGTTCAAGGCCTGAGAGAGAGCAAAGGGACGTTTATTTATTTATTTATTTTTTTGAGACAGTGTCTCGCTTTGTTGCACAGGCTAGAGTGAGTGCCGTAGCATCAGCCTAGATCACAGCAACCTCAAACTCCTGGGCTCAAGCAATCCTCCTGCCTCAGCCTCCCGAGTAGCTGGGACTACTGGCATGCGCCACCATGCCCGGCTAATTTTTTTCTATATATATTAGTTGGCCAATTAATTTCTTTCGATATTTATAGTAGAGACAGGGTCTCACTCTTAGGCTGGTTTCGAACTCCTGACTTCCAGCAATCCACCCACCTCGGCCTCCCAGAGTGCTAGGATTACAGGCGTGAGCCACCGCGCCCGGCTAAAGGGACGTTTATTAACTCAGAAGGCTAAACCTGGCTGGGTGCAAACAAGACAATTCCAAGGCCAGGTGTGGTGGCTCATACCTGTAATACTAGCACTCTGGAGGCTGAGGCTTGAGCTCAGGGAGTTTTGAGACCAGTCTGAGCAACAGTGAGACCCCCATCTCTACTAAACATAGAGAAATTAGTCTACTAAACCTAGAAAAATTAGGCAGGCATGGTGGCATGCACCTGTAGTCTCAGCTACTCAGGAGATCGGGGCAGAAGGATCTCTTGAGCCCAAGAGTTTGAGGTTGCAGTGAACTATGATGACACCAGAGCAAGACTGATTTGGGGGTGGAGGGTGGGGGCTGAAGCTACCTCACGAGGTTATAGGTAGAGCTGGTTGATAAGGCTCTGGAAGAGGTTGCATTATGCATTAATCTCTCTCCTTTTCTTTTTGCCCTTATTCCCATGTAGAGTTACTGGGATACATGACTTTTAAGTTTTAATGCCAGGAAAGTTGGGAGCAAACTAGGATGAGTTTGTCACCTTATTTCCATGGTTCTTTGTGCTCACAAAAAAACCTATTAATCCTTTCATTCTATAATTTCAGCCAGCCTACTAGCCTCTTGCTGGCTTCTCTTCCTCCTCTAACTAGCTTGGACCTTGCAGTTGATCTGCAAGCCTGTCCTTTTGCCCCCGTCATGCAGGAAAACCTAGTCCTGGATTAATCCACTCCCTACAATGGGGTTTTGAGTAAAATAGAGTGAATCATACACTCACATGGTCATTGTGTGATCTCCAGACTCAGCCTATCAGCAACATTAATTATTCTAGATCCACACAACACTTGCCCCTTCATTTTCAGCAGTCGAGTTGACTCCTCCTACTCCTCTTAGTAGTTCCTGAGTAACTAGAAGCAATGATGCAGAACACCTGCCAACTTCCAGCTACCCAACCTGCAAATTTTCACATCCATGTGTACATCTGGTATTGCTCTTGCTGTTCAAAGACAGCTCCATCTGTGCTCTTGGTTCCATCTCTCCCTTGTGCTGTGAGATCTTCTGCCATCGTTATTACCTCCCTTTGACTCCACAGGATCCTTTCCTCTTTGCCTGTTTATGCACTCAGTTTTCTTCCCCCTTCATAACTTAGTATCTTTAAAGCTACCAGACTTTTTCTGTTTTTCTCTTTCAAGCAAGATTCTTGGAAGAATAATCTACATTCCCTGCTATATTTCTTAATGTCTCTTTATTTCTTACCCTTCAATCAAGCTTCTGCCCTTACCACACCACTGAAACTGCTCTTGCTGAGGTTACCAGTGACCCACCAATTGCAACCACCCTGTGCTGTAGTGCAAAAGTAGCCACAAACAATGTATAAATGAACCACTGTGGCTGTGTTCCAATAAAATGTTATTTATGGACACTGAAATTTTATATATATTTTCACATGTCATTACATATTACTTTTTTGATTTTCCCCAACTGTTAAAAAATGTAATAACCACTGTAAGCAAGCAAGTCATACAAAAACCAGCAGTGGGCTGGATTTCGCTTGTGGGGCTCCAAACGTCTGCTCTGCTCTGGCTGTAGGGAACATCCTATAATTCTCCATGTGTTCTAGGTTGTTTCTTGGCCCCATGTCTTTATTCATACTGTTACCTTCCTCTGAATGTCTTTTCTCCTTTTTGCCTGGCCTATTCCTATCTAACCTTCCACTTTCTTGAGGAAGGCAAGTCTTTTCTGACCCCAGGAGGTAGAGGTAAGTACCTATCCTTGGGCTTCCATATCACCCTATGCATATCTTTGTTATAACACCTAACCACATTGTGTTACCAAGTTCTATTGCATGTCTGCTCCTCTGGTTCCTCCACTTGACACTGATTCATCTTTGTACCCTTAGCACTTAGCACAGTGCCTGGTATATAACAGATACACAATGAACATTTGTTGAACAGCATTAAGAAATCTGTACAATGGTTCATTGCTGATTGATCTTGTCTAAATAGAGGAATATTCTATTTATTATGTACTTTGTTTTTTAAAGTATTAAAATAAGTTATTTTGTGTATTTCCCCCCATCATGCTCACCTGAAAATACTGCCCAAAATACCACTGGGGTAAAGGGGCAGTAGTGGAAGAACTAGTAAGAACAGTTGGGGTTGATGGGAGTGAGGCTGTCTTACACACAATTACAACCACCCGTCAATGCCTGGCCCCATCACTGCCATAAAAATTAAAATCTGGATCACAAGTACTAAGAACACACACATACACTAATATGTAAATATTGAACCATGTCCAAGATTTTGAGGTGGGAACATTGAGCATGATGAATTTTAAAGTTCCTTTCGACTGACATTCTGTGAGTATAGAGTTACTAGCACAGAATCATTCTCACTCAGATGCCAGAGTGGAAAGTATAGTTTGTACATGGGTGCGAGAGTAGGTGTGGAATAGGAGGTGATGAAATGGTGAAGGGGTTAGAGGCAGAGAGGGGAGGAACCTGGAGTGGGACTTCTGACACCTCCTGCATGTGGTTACCTGGCATCCAGAGCGAACTCCATCTCCACCCGCACACACCATGGTGTTCTTCACAGTAGAGCCCCAGTAGGAAGAGCTGGAGCAAGTGGCATAGTTCACGGAGGGCAGGTAAGCCTGCTGCAGGGTCTGGGACAGCTGTCCGTTGGCTGAACAGGACACACAACATTGGAGGTCAGCCCCAGATGCTGTCCAGGGAAAAAACCTTCCATGCTTGCCAAACCTCGAGCTCTGGTGAAAGGGCAAGCTCCTTTCTATGTCAGGGATCCTCCTTCACTCTTAGATGGCCATGACACATCCCTTCCTTCAGAGAGTCATCCTTACTTATTGTTCCCAGGCCTCAAACCACTCCTGTTTTTTTCACTCATGGATAACTTAGTTAAGTAGTTAGAATGGTCTTATGTATTGATAACTTATGTCTGCTCTGCTTCCTTTGACTGTAAACCCCAGCAGAGCTGGGATTGTGCATGCTTGTTCCATTTCTTAAGAGCTTGGTGCAGTTTTCCTTTCTCTTGCTCTTTAGACTTTTCAAAGCCTTTGCTTTGTCTTATTTCTTTGTTATAGATCAAGACATTGAACCTCAATAACATTATGTGAATGGAGCAGAGCTGGATTAGAAGCCTGTGTCTCTCTCAGCTCCAGGTTTTCCTAGACTTGCTGCTCATAGCAAGGCCTTGCCTTGCCTCTAGAAGCCAAATACTTCCTGGTGGCTGATAGACTTCTGTATCAGGTTTAATGTTTCTGCCCTTCTTAATGATCTCTATAGCCCTCCCACCTTTCCATGTTATCTGTATAATGTTCCCTACCTGAAATCTTTCCACGATGACCAGAAAAGAGGTGAGGCTTCCTCTGCCCTATAGCTGCCCCTGGTTCATTTACTCCAACTCATAGCCCAGTGCTTGCCTATGGAAGTAGCATGATGGTATAATGACCATCAAAATGAGAGCCAGGGCTGGGCACAGTGGCTCATCCCTGTAATCCCAGCACTTTGGGAGGCCAAGGTAGGAGAATTGCTTTGAGACCAGCCTAAGCAACATGGTGAGACCTCATCTCTATAAAATAGTTTTCTAAATTAGCTGGGTGTGGTGGACACTCCTGTAGTCCCAGCTACTTGGAAGGCTGAGGAAGGAGAACCATTTGAGCCTAGGAGTCCAAGGCTGCAGTGAACTATGATCACACGACTGTACTCCCACCTGGGTGACAGAGGAGACCCTGTCTCAAAAAACGAACAAAAAAAAAAGTGAGAGCCAGGATGCCTGGGTTCTGGCCCCAGTTTTGACTGACTTGTCATATGACAAGATCCTTAATTTCTTTGCCCTGGGTTTCCTCGTGTGTACAATGAGGGACTGGTACAAAATACTCTCTGAGGCAAGTCTTTTTTTAGTTCTAAGAGTCTATGAATCTTGACTGTGCTACCATATAACTACCATATAACTTGACTATGCTACCATCCATTCTTAGCTTGATTTATTTAATGCATTGATTTATTTAATGCATCAATTATTTTATCTATGGTTCCTTTGGTTCCCAGTCTCTGGCTATAAACACCTAGGACTACAGAAAAATGTGCCCCAGAACTCAGCTACCTATTCAAGACCTCTGGTGGATGCTGCCAATGTAGGTGACTTACTCTTGGTCCTGCCCCAGCCTGTGATGTAGCAGGGACTGTTGTTAGCCAGGATGGTTCCCGCCTGGGGCAGAACACCCAGCTGGACGTAGCCATTGAGGGTAACGCTCTGGGCCAGGCGCAGCAGGGCGATGTCATAGCTGCAGGAGGAAAGGAGACTACTCACTCCTGGGATCAGTGATTCCCTCAGGTCAGCATCTGCACTGGTCCTCTCTAAGCCTTTGTGTCCCCATGGAATAGGAAAGCAAACAACCACTTTGAAAAAGGAGGAGCCTAACTTGCTAAGTATCAAACTTGAGCAATTATGGATTTTGGTTGTAGGACATTATATGTTTAATAGCAACATCTGCTGGTAGGATTTTGGTATTGCAGCCTAATGCTGATCTCCACAATCCAAGGAGGTGGAGAACCAGGAATCTGAAAGGAGCAGAGTGGTGTGATCTTGGTGGCAGGCTTCTCAAAAAAGAAAGATGTAAGAGACTGCGTGACTCTGAAAGCCAGCAGAATATCCCAATTACTTAAACCCATCCCTGCCTCCACACTCTATGGAACTGACCACCATCTTCATGACTTCCTTTCCGTAAGTTTACTACTTGATCTTGAAGTTTTCCCACATAAGATTCACTTTAAGGGCCAGGCGCAGTGGCTCACGCCTGTAATCCTAGCACTCTGGGAGGCCGAGGTGAGAGAATTGCTTGAGCTCAGGAGTTTGAGACCACCCTAAGCAACAGCAAGACCCCGTCTCTATTTTTTAAAAAAGTTTGGGGTGGGGGGAATAAATTTACTTTTGCTGGTAGGGCGAGTCTGTTCCATAAAGTGAATAATAACAATAAAAACCAAACAATAAAAATGGGAACATTAAACTCTGCAGAGAAGGAGCTTCAGGTAATCTAATCACAAAAACCTAAAGTCCTCAAAGTCTTCAAAAATTCTCAAGTCCTCTGTAACACAAATTCACAAAGTCCTCCTGGATGAATGAGCCAGCTCGTTGCTCCCTCCAGGACACGGTGCCTTCTCTTAGGCTCAGTGCGCTCCTCAGCCAAAGGACAGGCCATGAGCCATGAACTGGGTTTCAGGCAATGCAATCCCTCCAGCCCTCACGAGAGAACACGTGAAGGAAGCCAAGCCCGAGCGGCTGGCCAGGCAGCTCTCCACCTCCTAGCCCAGGCCTGCCCAGCCTGTGCCTACCCGGCAGCCACGTTATTGCTGTTCCAGTTCGGATGCACCACGATCTTCTGCACCCTCACGTACTGCTCGGTGCCGTCGTTCTGGTTCAGGTTGTGCTCTCCGACCACTACACGGAAGGTCATCTGGCTGGAGTGAAGGAAGAAAAGGAAGCCCTGACTGATCCAGAGGGCTCAAACCTTCTCTTTTCCCCCTTAGAGAAAAGTTGGGGGGGGCCATCTTATATACTATCTTCAGAACAGGAATCCATCTTTTTTTTTTTTTTTTAAAGCTAGTCAAGCGTGGTTGTGGGGGGAGACAATGTTAAATCAGCTTAACAATAACCCACAACCCTCGGACCAACTAGGAATCCATCTTAATCTGGCTCGGGCAGAGGAGGAACGGAAGACCCTCAAAGAAGAGGAAGTAACAAGCTCCCTAATTTACTAACTTGTGAGAGTGAAAAAAACTGTCATCAACTTCATTTTCAAAATTTTTTAAGCTGAACATCGTAGGCTGAATATCTCGTAACCTGGGAACTGTGTGGTGAGCATAAATGAAATAATGACTCTCAGCCACAGAGATTTTGAGGGAAGCATACACTCCTAGACTAGTGGTTCTTAACGCGCGGTAGACTGGCAGCATTGGGATCACCTGGAAACTTGCTAGAAATGCAAATCATCAGGCCTCACCCCGGACCTACCAAATCAGAAACTCCGCTGTGTGGGGCTCAGCATGCCTTCCAGGTGATTCTGATACATGTTCAAATTTGAGAACCATTGCCCAAGACAAGTATGAAAAAATAGTTACTAGTGAGACGTTGTCTAGGCACTTAAATATTTAGTCAATGCTCACAACAGCTCTATAAACTAGGTATTAGGACACCATTTTAGAGAGAGGAGAATGGGGGCATAGAGAAGCTAAGTTGCCCAACATTACATAGCTAGAAGTTGGGGGAACGAGATGTGAACCTGAGCCTGCTTGACTCCAAAATTTGTACTTTTCACCATGTTACCTCTCTATGGGCCCCCAAACACAAACGGACTAGGCCATGGCTGCTGCCCAGCCCCTTAAAGTTCTGCCCTGTGGGGCTGAGGTTGCAAATTCATCCAGAAGGTCCAGCCTCTTCCCCACCCAGGGCTCAGAAAAGCTGGTCTTTGTTTTTCTTACGAGTCCACGCAGTGAGCCGCTGTCATCACCCAGTTTTGTTTGATGAGGGTCCCTCCACAGGTGTGATACCAGGAACTTCCGGACAGGTACTGGAGAGAAATCTAGATGGGGAGGAAAGAAAGGAGGGATAGGTTGGTGTTTATTGAAAGGTTTTGCCTCAAACCCCTGGCATCCCTCAAAACCTCCAACTTTCTGGGCTAGGGAGGGCAAATAGATGCCAACTGTTGTTGATTGGTTGGTAGTGGCCACCTGGAGTGGTGTTGAGGCAGAACGTGTAGATGCCTCTGGGGGTCAGCAGGGAAGAGTGCACCATTGTTTGGTGGTTTGTTGTGTACAGGGACAAGTATAGTAAAGGTACACATGCATGGTGTATTTGTCAGTCTTTCTCTAGGTTGTTGCAATGGGCCTAGAACCAAGGTGCTGTCTCCATTCTCTCTATCTCTCTCTTTTTTTTTGAGACAGAGTCTCGCTTTGTTGTCCAGGCTAGAGTGAGTGCCATGGCATCAGCCTAACTCACAGCAACCTCAAACTCCTGGGCTCAAGCAATCCTACTGCCTCAGCCTCCCAAGTAGCTGGGGCTACAGGCATGCACCACAATGCCCGGCTAATTTTTTCCTCTATATATTAGTTGGCCAATTAATTTCTTTCTATTTATAATAGAGACGGGGTCTCGCTCTTGCTCAGGCTGGTTTCAAACTCTTGACCTCAAGCAATCTGCCCGCCTCAGCCTCCCAGTGTGCTAGGATTACAGGCGTGAGCCACTGCACCCAGCTTCCATTCTCTTTTGGAAAGGAAATGTAGCCAAAGAATTGTCCCATCACCTAAGCCCAAATTTAGGTCTCCGGAGCTCTGCCTTCAATGTTTTCTTTTCTTTTCTTTTTTTTTCGAGACAGAGTCTCACTGTGTTGCTCAGACTAGAGTGCCATGGTGTCAGCCTACCTCACAGCAACCTCAAACTCCTGGGCTCAAGCAATCCTTCTGTCTCAGCCTCCTGAGAAGCAGGGACTACAGGCATGCACCACCATGCCTGGCTAATTTTTCGATATATATTAGTTGGCCAATTAATTTCTTTCTATTTTTAGTAGAGACAGGGTCTCGCTCTTGCTCAGGCTGGTTTTGAACTCCTGACCTTGAGTGATCCTCCCACCTCCAGCTCCCAGAGTGCTAGGATTACAGGCGTGAGCCACTGCGCCTGGCCTCAATGTTTTCAAGATATATCCTGTCCCTCCACTTCAGGAAATACTTAGAAATACCAATGGAATGTTCATCTTTATCAGTTCACCTCTCTTCTTCTAGCAACTCACACTATACAATAACTCTATTCCTGAAAATTGGGGCTCAAACTTCTGTAAATTGAATATAACTCTGATGGCAGTGATTCAGAGTATGGATATTCACCAGTTAATTTGCCAGTTTTACATACACATTTAGATTATTTAAATCAGGGCCCAGCTGCCCTGTTACAAAAGTGGAAACTCTTTAAATAGCCAACTAAGCAACATACTGTATTTGGGTGTGTTTGTGTGTGACACACACTGTGTGGACTGGTGTGTGCATGTGTGTTTCAAGGTTTGTGGAGTCTGAGGTGTGAGTCTGGCACAATCTTTAGAGTGTAGCACAAGTGTGGGAGTACAAATGTGACTTGTGTTTGGTGTGTGCCTTGGGGAATGAGTGTGATTGGTGTTTAAATCTCCTCCTCCAATTCTTTTGCATTTGGAAAAACAAATAAGCCTGGTCCCATCCATCCTTAAAATCCAGAATTCAGACGGCTGGAGAGCTGCCTGTTATAAACACACATAATACGTTATGTCAGTGCACAGCAACTCTTATTTGAGTGGAAGTCTGGGGCTGCGAAGGGACACCCACCTGAGAAGGCCAGGAATTCTTCTGGGCCTCAGTCCCTCCAACTACCCGGGCATTGGTTTCCGGAAAGTCCTGGGTGCTGTGTCCTTTGTGGGGCAGAAGAAAAGTGAGTGATGACTAAGCGTGGGGTCAGCCAGGGGTGGGGGTGGGGGCGGTGGTTGTGCTTTGAGGAATGTTAGCCTTGTCTGCAAATTCATAGCTCCTCCCTAACAAATGAGGGGCCCAGCTGTGAGTTCTCTGAGCCCCTTTTGAAAGCAGGAGAGGCTGAGTGTCTTCTGCTTCCCCCAGGTGTCCCCAGAACTCTGGCATGCTATGAAAGACCTATCTCAAATCACCAGCCTACGGCCCCTGAGGCTCCTTGTGGTCTGGGCCTTACTCAAGGTCACCCCTTGGCTTGAAGGGACACCCCACCACCAGCCCCCAATACCCCTGGATTCTTTGGCAGGATTCTCTAGGGGGCAGGGACAGCAGTGCACATCCCAGCCAGATACCAGCTGGGCGTGGTGGGGAAGCCCAGGCTCCCTGGAAGGGACTTCTCTCTGCTTTATGACTCAGGCACCTGCCACCCAGAGGGGCCTGCTTGACCAGTGGCCCTGACATTTCCTATTTTGGGCTCCAGGAAAATAAAGTTTTTTGCTAGATCTACAGGCAGAGCGTCCCACCACCGCCCTGGGATGGAGAGCTGGCCTGGGCTTAGGGACCGCTTTCCGACCCTCCGCTCAAATCCCCCTCACTGTAGAACTCCAGGCAAATGATCCACTTACCATAAAGGACCAGGGCAGCGAACACCAGGAAGCGCAGCATGTTGCCAGTGAAGTAGACCACTGCCCCCTTGCCATGAACCAAGCCCGCTTTATACTTCTCTTATCAGCAGCTTTGCTGACCTTCTTCCTGCCAGCTGGCAGGGCTGCGAGGGGAAGGCAGGGAAAATCACAGGTGACATGGAAACACAAATGAAAAGATTTCTTTTTCAAGTAAACTAATTTATCTGTTATTCAAAGACAGCACAAGGCCAGAGCTGAATTAATCATCTGCTTTTAGTTGAAAAGCATCCATCAAACTCTTTTTCAGAAATAAGATGGAGCGCTGGGACTGGCTTTTCCCTCAGGTTACTCCCCTCGACTGTCCTCTGTGGCACCGTGAAGGCAGAGACCTGTCCTGTGCACTAGCAGGTAGGGACGATGTGGCTGTTAGCAAAAGAGTAGTCAGCAAGGGGAAGGAAGACACAGCAACTCCCCGAGAGGGAGAAGGCGCGTGCGCAGACGTAGGTGCAGAACAGCAGACAAAAACAAAGTAGGTGCAGTGGAGAGAATTATGGTGGAGGAAAGTATTGAGAGACAGGTTTGGGGAGACTCTCAGATGGAGAGCCAAGAAGGGGGCTCCAGAGAAGGAGAATGTCTGGCATGTTAAGAGAGGGAATCCTCAAGGACAAGGAGACCATCTGAAGGATGCCAAGGTGGAGAGCAGAGAGAGCAGGAGGGGAGGAGCAGGCAGGTCCTGCGAAAGGAAAATGCCATTAAAGTCCAAAGAGGAAGAAGGAGGGAGGTCCACTGCACACTACTCCGTGAGGTGGGCAGAGGCCTTGGGTTGGGCACAAAATGATCAAAGCCATTGCAGGCCCCAGAGCAGAGGACTGTGGGTGGAGCAGTGATGGTAGCAAAGCCTGGAAATTTAGGCAGGAAGAAACCAGGAATCTAGAGGGAAGCAGGAAACTCACCTGGCCCACCTGGAGCTTTTTGTCACCTTGACCCTCCAGAATTCGCTTCATGGCTCACAAGATGTGGAAAAGGCTGTTCATAGGAGTCAGCACAGACTGGCACCTTTTCAGGGTCCTTGAGCTGTTCAGGGGATTTGCTCTTTGATGCTCAGACAACCTGGAGGGCTCCCTCTCCAGCCCAACCTGCAGCATTCCTATGCAAAGTGAACCTCTGGAAAGAGGGCTGAGCTGGGCTAGGGAACCCAGGGCCTCCCTTGTCATTCTCCTCCCATTTCCTTGCCTCCCCTGGAGAGTAAGGGGACAGCTCCAGCCCCAAGATGAGGAATCTGAGAGGAAGCTTGAGGGCCTCCTAAAGGTTACCTCTTGACATCATGTACTCCAAAGTGGTGAATCTTGAAGGGCAAGGCCAATTTCACATCTGTCTTTGTACCCTTGGCCTAGCCCAGAGCAGCCCAATCTGTATTTGCTTAAAAGCCAAATTCCAGGACTGCATTTAAGACCCTCACAATCGGTCCCATGCTGATCAGTCTCTTTTATTCTCTCAGAGTTAGGTCTAAACAATGGCCTTGGCTTAAATTTTGAGGTACTGCATTTCTTCTAAGCAATTCTAGTTCTAGGAATGCATCCTTTTGAAATAACCACAGGCATAAATGTACTATGTACAAAAGAAATGTACAAGGTTGTGGGTCATGATATAGTTTGTCACAAAATTAGGAAAAATGCAAGTATTCATAAAAATAGGGGAAGTTTAAATAAGTTGGGAATAAATTCTCTACTATTAAATACTATATGCAGCTTTTAAAAAGAATGAGGTAGACTTAAATGAGCTGAGATGAAAAGGTGTATTTGATATACGTGAAGAAAGTAAACTGCAAACAACATGGTATAGTGTGTATTTGTACATTCATAGAAAAAGGCATGGAAGGGTCTATATACCAAGCTGTAAACAGTTATTACCTCTAGACAATGATCCAATAGGTATGGGGCACCATGAGGATGAATTTCACTTTCTTTTAACCTCATATTTTTCTATATTATTTGACTTTTCTCCACAGTATCACTTATTTTTTTTTTTTGGAACAGAGTCTCATTCTGTTGCCCGGGCTAGAGTGCTGTGGCGTCAGCCTAACTCGCAGCAACCTCAAACTCCTGGGCTCAGGCGATCCTCCTGCCTCAGCCTCCCAAGTAGCTGGGGCTACAGGCATGTGCCACCATGCCTGGCTAATTTTTTCCTATATATTTTTAGTTGGCCAATTAATTTCTATTTTTAGTAGAGACGGTGTCTCGTTCTTGTTCAGCTTGGTTTTGAACTCCTGACCTTGAGCCATCCACCCGCCTTGGTCTGCCAGAGTGCTAGGATTACAGGCATGAGCCACCACATCCGGCCCACAGTATTACATTTGTAATTACAAAGTAAAGAATAAATTCTGGGATATTTAACTATTTTTGGTAATGGCCCCCATACTCTTCAAGTGGAAATAGATCCCCAGAGGGGACCAGCCCGTCAGTGCTAAAGTAAGAGGCTCCTGGAGCCAGGAGATTGTAGCACACGGTTAGCAGCAAGGTTTTAAGAGTTGGTGGCCTTAGGTTAGTTAGCTCTGAGAGTGGCCAGAGGGGTGGGTTTTAAGGAAGAGTACAGGTGTAATTTAGGGCAAGGCCAGGCTTGGCTATGGGGAAGGCCACCAAGCAGGTGCCACTCACTCCCACCAGCACCCTTTCCCTTTGCTACTTCCCTTCCCTAGTCCTCCCCACATGCCCAAACCTGAACCATCTCACTTCTGCTGCCTCTCTTGCTCCGTGAGTTCCTCTTAGCTGGCTGCTCCTGGGAGATGCCATTTGGGGGCAGTTAGAACCTTCTTGGCACCACAAAAGGGCACCTGGGTTGGATACATTTCCTAATAGGATTGCGCTGGGGAGCTGCTGTTGGGTGATACTATAGATGGAATGAGGGTACTGGGATAAATGGTAAATGATCAATGCCTGATAAATGTTTGGATGTTTAATGCAACCAAGAGTGAGGCCAGGGTTTACCTTACCTATTACCATAGCATTCAAAGTCTTTCTCAACTGAATCCCAACTCACTCTTCTACAGAGCTGACTTACCCAGTAGGGACAGTAGGCACAGTGCCCAATACTTTTAATGGCCTACAAAAATGTGTTAGATTCTTTTAAAATAAATATAGTCAGCCTGGATTATATTTGTCTTTAAACCAATGCAGTTATCAAATTATATATACATATATATATGTGTGTGTGTGTGTGTGTGTGTGTGTGTGTGTGTGTGTTTGAGACAGGATCTCACTCTGTTATCCAGGCTAGAGTGCAGTAGCATCATCATAGTTCACTGTAACCTCAAACTCCTGAGCTCAAGTGATCCTCCTGCCTCAGCCTCTTAAGCATCTGGGACTACAGGTGAGTACCAATGCACCTAGTTAATTTTTTTTAATGGAGAGACAGGGTCTCACTGTGTAGCTCAGGATGGTCTTGAACTCCTGGCTTCAAGCGATCCTCCTGCCTCAACTTTCTAAAGTGCTAGGGTTATAGGCATGAGCCACCACACCTGGCCTAACTTTTAATATTTTTTTTATGGAGCAAGGGTCCTATGAAGGGAAAAGTGCCCAGGGCCCACAAAAGTCATAATGTGGCCCTGATCTCCTAGCTTCTATACCTATCGCTCCCTCACCCTGATGTCCCCTTGGTTTCCCAGACCCACTTGTACTTTTTTTTTTTTTTTGAGACAGAGTCTCACTGTGTTGCCAGTGCTAGAGTGCCGTGGCATCAGCCTGTCTCATAGCAACCTCAAACTCCTGGGCTCAAGAGGTCTTCCTGCCTCAGCCTCCCAAGTGGCTGGGACTACAGGCATGTACCACCATGCCTGGCTAAGTTTTTCTATATATTTTTAGTTGTCCAGCTAATTTTTTTCTCTATTCGTAGTAGAGACAGGGTCTCGCTCCTGCTCAGGCTGGTCTCAAACTCCTGAGCTCAAACAATCCACCCGGCTTGGCCTCCCTGAGTGCTAGGATTACAGGCACGAGCCACCATGCCTGGCCCCCACTTGTACTTTTGTCCCACTGTGGCTTTGCTCATGCTAGAGAACTGTTTGTGTGACTTCTCTGCTTATTGAGCCCTTCCCACCTGAGGACTCATCCTTTGAAGTCTTAGGTCTGACATCACCATCTTTGTGAGGTCTTCCCTGATTCCCCTAAGCAGAAGTTGTTCCTTCTAACTCACTTAGCACACTTTTGCACACCTCCAGGCTTGTGATTTGTTTCCATTTAGAGTATGAGTTCCATGGGAGAAGGACCTCATCTTCCATCTCATGTCTACACACGCTTGGCACACAATACGTGGGCTAGATTTGGGGCCAGACCATGTTTGGGGACACAAGACCATGGCTGTAACATAACTTTTCAGGTGTGTGGTTCTTCAAAGCCCAAATCAACTGATTTAGCTAAGGGACAACATAGGAGAAGAGGAACACAATGAAGACTTCCTTTACCAATGCCATAAAACCTTTATTTCCACTGGGATCCCATGTGCAATTCTCTTTTCTTTCTGGGAATGAACCTTTCCTTTCTCCAGGTCACACCCTTGCGGCTCTCCTTTCCCTTTGGCTGGGCTACCTCAGAATGTCCTCTCTACAGGGCCTGGCATGGCTCTCAAGGTGAATTGCATGGGAACAGGAGGCAGCTGTGGTCCCATGGCACCCTCATGTGGTGATAGCTTGCTATTGAAAGTCAAAAGCAGCCTTCCTGGATAGAATTTTTGTCCTTTGGGCAGCTGGGCAAAGGAGCCCTGTGCGGCGGTGAGTCCCTGAGCTTGAAGAGCTGTATTCACATCCGGTCTGCTCCATAGGGGGTTCCGTGCAAACATGGCAGATGGGATGAGTCTTCCAGTCAGTTCCAGTCTGTGCGCTGTCCCTGCTCCTTCGGACTTCCCAAGACTCCAGTTAGTCTTACCTGAGTGTTCAGCTTCAGGGCTGCCAATACCTGGCTGGGTGAGTGACCTTGGACAAATTCACCTCTCTGGTCTTGGTTTCATAATAGGAAAATGATAGGGTTGGACTAAAACAACGGTTTTCAAGTTGTGCTTACAGACTTAGAAGTTCAGGGGCTGGAGGGCATTGCCCACTCCTCCCTCAATTTCACTCCTGCTACTTTGCTTTTTTATCTACCTTTTCTATGGGGCTTAGAAAAAAGGGTTGTGGGACTTAAACTTGGGAATCACTGGTTCTAGCAGCTTCCTTTCAATACTAACATCCAGGATTCCCAAATGTGGTCTCCCCTCCAATGGCTACCTGGCTCCATTGTTCTGCTTTATGGAAGCCAGCTGACCAGAAACAACCAGGACAAAAGGGAGAGGGGACGAGAGGGCTGGCAGCTAGTTGCCTAGTGTTCTTGTGGTGTAGTGGAAGAAGTCCTGACTCAGCATGGAAGATTGAGGCTCTAGCCATCTGCTAGCTATGGGACTATCAGTAAGCTCTTTTACCTCTGTCTCAGTTTTCTTATCTATAAAATGGACACAGTGGTTCCTGTCCTGTCTTTGTCATGGGATTATTGTGCAGATAAAGGACACGTGTCAGGGAGTTTTCTTTAAACAGTTGTACAAACTTTGGGCAATATTAGCAAGAGAGGCTCTCTTAGACCTCTAATCCTTCTGTCAGAATACACCATTTCACTGGATTCTGCACTTGCCGTGGATGGCCAGGGATTCAGGACATGGCCACAGAAGTACTTTTCTTGAGCTCAGCATTGCTGCCCTAGGCCCTCCCCCAGCTGTCTTCTCTGCTTTGGAGGCCTCTGTTTCCAGGACAGAAGGAAAGTCCTTGGCCAAGCATCATGTGCCCTGATGGTCTGTTCCATCAGTGTGGAGGAAAGAAACTTGCATCATTGTTGCAAGGAGTAGGAAGGTCCTGCCTTGATATCCATTGGGTTTAGAAACCCATCTTTAAGGCCGACAGAGAAACTGATGGTCAGGTTTCCAGACATCAGCAATCCTGTTTCCTGAGAGGCTTGTGGGGCCTTCCTCAGGGAGATGATTCAGGTCCTAGACAAAGAGCCACAGCTGGTAGGGGTCACTGGGATTGCAGGGGGCCATGGCTGGTATTTTGTCCTTGGATGTCAGGCAGGTACCAGATCCTGCGTTCCTGATGAGTTGATCCTAAAAGATGACACAGCAAAGGGTCAACCTGGCCCACAGACTGTACTACTGGGGGCAATGAGATGGGGGACAATTGGTAAAAGGCAAAGGAAACCCAACAAGGTACAAAGACACTTCTCAATTTCTTTCCTGGAAAGCCAGACTCTCTGATGAGATACATTTCCAAGTGTCCATGTCTGTCTGGTGCCAATTCCCCACCCCTGGCTTTAGCCTGAGTGGATGGAATAGAAGACAAGACCATGGCCAACAGAAAATGCCTTGAGGGTCTCCCCCTCCCCTAGATGGCCAGGCTCAGAGATCTGGGGCCAATGCTGCCCACTCCCAATTTTCTGCCTTTGATTCATGTTTAGACTCCTTCCTTCCCTATAGCCTCAAGGTCAGGTTTCTCTTTTCCTAAGCTGAGGTAGGGTGTGTAGGCTCACTAGGGGTGCTGGCTTGAGCTAAGGATGGTAGCACTCACGTCATACATCCTGAAGCACATGGTGTAATGGAAAGATCCCACACCTGCCATTTACTAGTGATGGGTCTTGGACCAGTCACAAAACAGGAGACGCAGATGTGGCCTCAGGTTCTTGATTCTGAGCCTTCTGGGCGACTGACTCACCTGGGTCAATTCCCATTCCTCGTCCTTGGGGATCTGGCTATTTTTGCCAGTGAAGTGACAGCTCCTGAGGCCCAGAGTAACCGAGCTGGCATGTAGACACAGCTGCTTGGCTATGTTGTGGCGAAGGTCCCTCTGGGTTGTATACTCAAAGTACTGGAAGTGAAGACAAGAAGAGGTCCTGAGGAGCTGGTGGAGAGTTCGCCCACCACTTTCTAAAGCCACCTGCCCTGAGATGCCAGCCACAGATGCCTTCTGGGGAGGAGAGTGAGTGGACAAGGCCGTGCCAAGACGTTGTAATTTATATTCTGCCTTCATGATTTTTGCCATGTCTGGGTTAGACTGGAATAATAGTTACTTATTTTCTTTAAATTAAAAATTAAAATTTAGCCTCACTTTAAACATCTGTGAAACCATGTGTTTGATGCACTGATTCTATTTTAGCTAATAAATTACTATTAAAATTTTTTTAAATGTTCTTCAGTGTACCACCTAAAATCATCTTGCAGGCCAATGGAACAGGAAACTGCATTAGAATGACTATCTTTATCTGCACAGGCCGGCAGTCTGTTCCACGTCCTGTCCCGTGACACTGCCTTCCTTGCTTCTGCTCTGTTCTAGGTGGCTGTCACTTACCAGGTGCTGGGCATTCAGGGTAGACTGAGGGCAGGGGATGGGAGGTTACTAGTTATTTCTCAGGGACACACTGGGGCATTGTGAGGCATGGGGTGAATTCCCAGGACCTCAGGTAACTGAGCTGTCAGTAGGTAGTTGTTTTGGGGTCACTGCTAAGTGATAGGGTGGTAGCTTCTGGGAGGGGAGGCACTGAAGATAGAATTTGAATGTAGATAAGGGAAAGTGCTAAAAAATTTTCCATACTCACTCCCAAATATCACCCAGCAGCTGGCCTCCTCCAGCAAACCTCCTCTGATTAACAGTCCTCCCACCGATCCCTCTCCAACACCCAACACTGATGCCGTGTTCTCTCTGGATGTCCCTAATTCAGACTTCAGAGTGTGTGTGTGTGTGTGTGTGCGCGTGCGCTGTGCATTCCCCCTCAGTTTGGAAGCCCCTTGAAGGCAAGGATGGTCTCTCTTCCTCCTTCTGGAGCTCCTCCATCCCAGTCCTCAGGAAAGGGCTGTTTAAGGGATAGAAAGGGAGCCCATGAGGAGAGGAGATGCCTCAGAGACAGGTTTCTCTCGGGCCTGCCCTGCTGCTGTTGGGCCATATACCTGGTTGCCGCCAAGGCCGTGGCAGGAGTACATGATGAGGGGCTTCCCTCCACGGTTGTTCTCACCCACATCCAGGCACTGGTTGATGCCAAGGTTCTTGATCTGCAGAATGGTAAGCAGAGAGGGAGCCAGGATAGCACCATCAGGTTTCCTAGTTTGTGGTGAGGGACCCAAAGGGGAACAAATTCTGGTCAACTGGAATAAATTTACATGGCCAGATTTCCCCTCTGTGCTTTTTCTCCTCTGCCCATCTTCTCTGCTCATTAACCCACATGCCTGGAGTTAAAAGCAAAGTGAGGTGCATAGCCACAGAGGCTGGGAAGGGCAGGACTAGTACTCACTGTGGGACAGAATGGGCAACCTCTCAGGATGCCAGGTCAGCATATGGGAGAGCCCTCATAAGCAGTGGTTCTTGAAGTTCAATCCCTAGACCCTCAGCCTCACCTGGGTACTTGTTAGAAATGCAGATTTTCACACCCCACTGTGTCCCTCTCAATTAGAAACCCTGCAGATGGGGCCTAGAGTTTTAACACGTCTTCCTGGTGATTCTGATGCATGCTAATGTTTGAGAACTACTGCTCATGGGCTGTTTTCCCCTTATAAGGATTATATCTATCTCTAGAAGCCCCAAAGTGGCCTCTCAGTTCTCTTCCTGGATAAGGGAGGGAGGAGGATAAAAGTCAATTTTTATTTGTTATCCATCTGTGGGGTAAGTGGTCTTAAACTTCTTCTCTAGGGGGTGCTATGATGAGGGTTAGGCAGGTGGGTCCTCAAGACTTACGGCTCCAGAGAAGGTGGGTGTCAGGTCAGGAACAAACATCTCTGGGTAGATGTTGTGCAGGAACCAGGAAAAGTTGTGACAATGTAGTTGTTCCCTCAGCTGCAATCGCTCTGAAATGTCTCCGAAGGATTTCTGTCAACCAAGCCAGCCCCCTAAGGATCAGTTCTACCAGTCTTGACCTTCCTGTCTGGGCTAAAGTCCAAACCCCCTACCCAGCTTTGGGGTCCCCCACCCGTAGCTCCCCTACTCCCTCATCTCCTGTGACTCCTCAGTCAGTTCTCTCCCAGTCCCCAATTCCGAGCTGTTCCTCCTATAAGAGGTTCTTCCTGGCCTGGTGCGGTGGCTCACGCCTGTAATCCTAGCACTCTGGGAGGCCAAGGTGGGTGGATCGCTCAAGGTCAGGAGTTCAAAACCAGCCTGAGCAAGAGTGAGACCCTGTCTCTACTAAAAATAGAAAGAAATTAATTGGCCAACTAAAAATATATATTAAAAAATTAGCTGGGCATGGTGGTGCATGCCTGTAGTCCCAGCTACTTGGGAGGGTGAGGCAGAAGGATCGCTTGAGCCCAGGAGTTTGAGGTTGCTGTGAGCTAGGCTGATGCCACGGCATTCTAGCCAGGGCAAGAGAGTGAGGCTCTGTCTCAAAAAAAAGAGATTCTTCCCCCAAATCTCTTCTCCTAATCTCCCCCAACTCCCACCTGGAATGCAAGGACTCTTCAGGTAGGGATGACATCCTTTAGCCTTTAAAATCTTTGTGCCCCGGGGCCCTCCCCGGTCTCTAGCACACAGGGCTCTGAGGGGAGAAGGGAGGCACCAGATGGCAGAGATGGGGATGGGCTGCTGCCCTTAAGGCCTTGACCAGGGTCTGAGATTTGTACTTCTCTCCATCCAAATACCTCTGAGCACCATTGCCTCTCACCTCTCGGGCAATCTTTGCTGCCTGCAGATTTCTTCTGTAGAAAATAATCTTGTAGTTGTCCATCCAGACCTCAGCCAGGCGCACTTGGTTGCGAGCAATGACACTGGTGCCCTTGGGGAAGGTGTGGGGGCTCTTGGTACGGAACACGTGGCCTACCACAGAGCACGGGATGATCTCCAGTTGGCCCCCACACTGCCACACCTGACATAAGAGGAGACAGGGTGGGGCCTTCAGGGGGGGGGTGGAACAATCCCCTAAGGAGTTCTGTTCTGTCCCCAGGGTGCCAAGCCCCAGGTCCAAGGACTTGGGCAAATGCTGCTCTCTATTCCTGGAAAAAAGGGCATTGACTAAGCTTTTTCCTAGGCCATGACTACGTAATCCCAGGCTCTCTGACATTGGTTCATTCTGATTTAAGCAAACAGAGTTGCAGGGTCCTGAGGTTACCAGGGCCCACTTTAGCAAAAAGACTTGGTTAAGTTTTGTTACCTATGTGTGTATATCTACTCTGAGCTCTGATCACTTGGCTTTTTGACCTGGAAATGTGATTTTTATCAGCTCACCCAGGCATAACTGGAAACTCAAGCTCTCCCACATCAGAGCATCAATATGTTAATTAATAGCAGGGACAGTCAACTGCCAGGTGGCCAGTGGTAGTCACCAGGGCCCTTAGCTACTAGCTTACGAGCAGAGAGATTGAACAGAGGTCAGAGGCTCACCGAGGAGCCTAGGATCAGAACATGAGTGAAGATGCTTGGCTGGTCACTCTATCCTGGTGGGCTGGTTTAAGACATCCCTACCATTGGTCTTCTCTCTTGGGTCTTAGATGGGTAGGTATGTTGTTATTCTTTTTAGTTTGGCAGTGATAGAAATACATAATCACAGTTATAGTTTGGGTAAATTTATAGTACCTCCTATGGTATAATAGGTATCAACTACACGGTTAATATGTGCCAGACACTGTGAGAGGTGACTTCATGAATGACTTCATTTACTGACTAATTACTTTTCCATGTCATCAGGATTTGTGTAGGTTTCACAGAGAGGCAATCTTTTCTTCCTGACCTAATCCTGATTTGTCTAATTCCTGAAATCCCTCAGAGTTCTGAGATGCACCAGATGCCACCATCTTCTGCTACAGTTATGAAGAGCTTGCTGGTGAGCATAGGTAGGCAAACTCCGAAGGCTACCAGAGCATAAGTCCTTTGGCCTGGGAATGGGAACCTGATTTTTCCAGAAAAAGGACAGTGACTGATAACTGACCTGTTTCCACCTTTACCCTAACTCTATTCCCACAGACATCACAAAAGGGTCCCAAGTCCCCAGATGTCTAGTCCTTATTATCCCCTCCTGCTGTGAAGTTCTGTACGGTAATTTGTTTCAACCTGGCCAATCTACTGCCAAAGCCCTACTGCCACAGACAGGGACGGGAGCAAAAGAAAGGCGGAGCCTTAATGGAAAACAGCCGAAAACAGCCACCCTGTTAAGTTCAGCTCCAGATGTGATATCCCTGAGGCTGCCGCTGCCAGTACCCTGGGATGTTGTGGGTCCCCCCGAAGCCCTCTTCACTCTCACCCGGAAGGACATTTCCACGTTCTCCCCTCCCCAGATCTCCATCTGATTATCATAGGTACCGATGTGCTCAAAGTAGGACTTGGAGATGGAGAAGAGGCCACCAGCAAACGTCGGGGATCTGGAGAGACAGAGGGAGAAGTATGTGCATCTTCTGGGGGAGGAGGAGCGGGAGCCTGGCGGGGAAAGCTGTTTGTGGAATCCCCTCCTTGGCCTCCTACCCTATCTCTCCGCCTTTCCTCTTTCCCAGTATGTGCAGTCCCTCCTTCCACTAACCCATTCACTTAGCTTTTACTCTGTCTTCTTCCTATGCTAGGACCAGGTCAAGGAGAGAGATAATTATCCTTACTCTAAAAGGCACTCACAGGCTGGGCGTGGTGGCTCATGCCTGTAATCCTAGCACTCTGGGAGGCCGAGGCAGGCAGATTGCTCGAGGTCAGGAGTTCGAAACCAGCCTGAGCAAGAGCGAGACTCCATCTCTACTATAAATAGAAATAAATTAATTGGCCAACTAATATATATAGAAAAAATTAGCTGGGCATGGTGGTGCATGCTTGTAGTCCCAGCTACTCGGGAGGCTGAGGCAGGAGGATTGCTTGAGCCCAGGAGTTTGAGGTTGCTATGAGCTAGGCTGATGCCATGGCACTCACTCTAGCCTGGACAACAAAGGGAGACTCTGTCTCAAAAAAAAAAAAAAAAAAAAAAAAGAAAGAAAGAAAATGGGCATGATCCAAACTAGGAATGAATGAATATTATTAGCTAGGCTGACCCCATTGTGTTTCAGGATCCCTGGCCTTTTGGCAACTACAAAGCCACAGTATTAGTAGGAGCCTAGCCTCAGTGCTTTTCACTGCATGAGAAACTTCAGCTTTGGGGAAAAGCCGTCAGTTGCTTTGAACAGGGGAAACTGGTAAGAGGTGCTTCCCACCAGAGACAGGGTGGGAAGTGAGGTGAGATCAAGCTCAATTTGGACGTTAGGGGCATTTGAGAGGTTATAGAAAGATTCTGGCTTTCAGACAAAGGTAGAGAAGCACAGACCCAAGTTAAGATAAATTGAAAAAAAAAATCTCATTCCTAGAATTTAGATACCAGGTCACTCATAAGAGGGGCTGGGCGAAGGGTACAGATACCCAAGTGGACAAGAGGAAGTCTAAGCCAAGGGTTGGTTTCCGTGTCTGGGCCAGGCTGGCTTGGACAGGGCTTTGCTGCCCTCAATGGGTGGCTCCACGTGGTCCAACCAAGCGGAAAGATACCGAAACCTTCTCTGTAACTCCAGACTCTATCAAGGTACCTTATACACAAAGTGCCAGGGCCAATCAGCACTCATTGTCTCATCTATCAAGGTGACTACACAGGAGCTTGACCTTGGTGTTACGCTGTGGCTGCTCCTGTTACCCTGAAGTTGGCTCCTGCAGCCACCTTCTGGAAGGACTTTCAGTCAGGAAACCCTCTTGCTCAGGCTGGCCTCCTGTCATGGGTTCTGGCCTCTTCAGGGCTCCTAAGCCAGCCCAAATAGTACCCTGAGAGGCTCAGAGTCCTGGAACTTCAGATGAGTGCTTTGACGCTAACCTGCTTCCTCTTGAGGGCCTCCCCGACAGGGGCCTGTCCTTGTCTTTGCAACTGAGAAGTCACTGTCAAATTAGCTGTGAGGGTAAACACTCCATAAATCCACAACCAACAAGCAACCTCTAGGAAACACCGTGTATTTCCTGGCCTACTTCCTAGGATTCCCTGGGCCCTCTACCTCTCCTCGTAGCCTCCCGGTAGCTTGAGAGGTGAGGGTGGGAGGGTACCACCAGCAGTCCTCCTGGTGGGGAACTACCAAGTGCCTTGGCAAGCTGTGAGAGCCACCAGGGCATTTGGACCAAGGAGCAAATTCATTCCTCAAACATTGGAGCTTTGTCTTCCAGTTGTATGGTCCTTGGACATCGGAGCCGGGGACGTCAGCGATGGGTGGGGGCCAGGTGCGCTGTTTCTGTCTGTGCTGCTGTGTGCCTGGCCTCCAGCTGGGGCAGGGGTGGGATTTGGTGCGGTACACACCAAACAAAAGGTATCTATGAAACAAGTGGAGGGGCAGTAGGGAGTTCCAATTTCTTTTCTCTCTCCTGCCTTCGCTTTTCCCTCTCTCCTTTTAATGGAGCTAGAGCAGCTGACTGTTCAGGATCCACGGGACTCCTCCCTATGACACCCATCTGAGCCCTCTCTCCTGATACTTGGGTGGCTTTCTTCGGATTCTGGGCATATGGAGGGGGAACAACTCCAACTGTCTCCCCCTTTCAAACCTTCCCTTTATCTCCAGCCATGTGTCCCCAACCTCTGCTTCCCCCCATCCCTGATATATATTTAGCTGACCCTTAAGTGTCCTGGCCAATAGGAAAGCAATGGCACAAATAATCCCAAACCATAGGGTACTCTAAAAGCCACTCCCAGACTCAGTCTGCCTGAGACAACTGTTAAAATAAACTTGTGGTCTCTCACAACAGCAATGGGCAATCTGGAGAGGGAAGGACAGGGTAAGTATGAGAGGGGAAAGCAAACCCATCTGGCATTAAAAAGTGGATTAAGGCTGGGCACAGTGGCTCACGCCTGTAATCCTAGCACTCTGGGAGGCCGAGGCGGGCGGATTGCTCAAGGTCAGAAGTTAGATAGTTTGATAACTAGCTCCTGAGCAACAGCGTACACCCTGTCTGTGTCTCTACTAAATTAGAAATAAAATTTAATTTGGCCAGATCTTAAAAATCTATATAGAATTAATTATTAGCTGTGTGCTGGGTGGGCACAAGGCTGTTTAGTCCTCCTAGCTACTTGGGGGACTGAAGGCAGATAAGGATTTTGCTTGTTGGAGCCCAGGAGTTTGAGGTTTTGCTGTGAGTCTTAGGTCTGGCATCACC